ACAGCATCTGAAGCTCTTTGGAAAACTGCTTTTAGTTCTACCAGAGCCTGTGCAGACAGCCTTCAGCCCAAAGTGCCTGGGAATTTATTCTCCACAGCCCTGCCCATGGCCCTGATCAATGGCCTAAAAGTAAGGGGATGTGCAAGTCCAGTGCTCTTGCCTCAGTTGGTCCTACTCAGAAGTGTAACTTACACCTGGGGTTCCTCTGTGGATCCGGCTGAAGGCACCCTCTGCAGGGCTTTGCCTGAACCTGCAGCCTTGCTTGGCTTCCTCCTCTCTCCTCTCTGCCTCCTCCACTCTCTTGCCAGTCTCCTCTAAGCACTTTCTTAATAAATCACTCGCTCACAAATCTCGAAGCTTCATCTCAGGGAACCCAATCTAAAAACACCGCCTATCTCCTACAGCTTTTGTCCCTTTAAGAATCTAATGAAAGTTCTGGACACATTTCCTAAAAGAAAATGTACATATGCATGTAATTGGCCTGCCTTTGCCCTATGATCTTGGAAGTGTAAGAAATGTCTCATCTTTAATTTTTCCAAATCCTAGCTGACTCAGTCTTCCACCCACCAGGTGGTTGAGAAATCCAAGTTCAGTTATTTGTGGGAGGGCCTTTCTCATTCATCCTTGATATTTGCTTGAGGTCGTACGGAAAACCTGGCCCAGAAATCCTGGGGAGAGCCTCAGGATTTCAGTTGAATACTCCCTGGGTTTTCTCCTTCACTCAGAGGTGCAGGTGATACCGTGTGGCTCTCCTTGGGGATCTGTGCTGAGCTCCCAGACTGTGGCGCTGGCATTCAGACCTTCTAGGTGCCTCTGCAGGAAACACACACCCAGCCATTCTCATGTGAGACCTGATACCTCTGGATTACTCTGTGCGAGCCTGGTTACTAGAAGAACTTATATCAATAGCACCCTCCCCCTCCCTCCCCTCAGTCCTATTCTCAGGAATGCTCTCTCACTACCACCACCAACCACCCCACCCCCACCCACCAGCCATATACCCCTTGTCTTCCCTCTTGCAGGGCAATTCCCATCTCTGTCCTCTGCCCTCAGCAAAGAAGTGGATGGAGTTGACCTTCAGGGCAGAACTAGGCCCTAGGAGCACTGAAAAGGGAAGGTTGGTTCTCTCTCTAGGAGGAGGAAGGGAGAAATAATCCTTTTATTCATTTCCTACAGAGAAAAACTGATTAAGGCAGATATTAATTACTCAGTAAAACATCCCCACTCACATACAATGTCGCACACAACTTTAGGAAGTTTGTAGTTCCTGGGACTCCAAGTTATAAACATCTGACCCAAAGGAAAGGAAGTCGGAAAGCCAGATATCATATTCCCTACCTCCACCAGCCAGTGACGAGGACTCTTGATTCTAGAATGACAGTGCTTCTCCTTGATCTAGAATCTCTGTCTTACGCCTGTGGTTTCTCGCTCATCAAATACCAAAGCTACTTTAGTTGAAAGATAAAGTGAAGCATAAATACCAGGAGATAGAACTTTTGCTTTTACCAAAGTAGCCAATTAATAAGCAAGCATGGGGACTTTGCAATCAGGGTGTAAATGCTGGGTTGGAGAGGTTTGAGGGACGATGCTCCCCAAGCTCCCTGGGCTCAGTGCCAAGAACATGATGTTGGTGACATTTTCTTACTATTTTTGACATTGTATTGCTATTATGACAATACTTGTTGAATCTGTGTCAAAACCAATGTCATTCAGAGTTTTGGCCCATGAGATGGTGACAAGCTTGGGGCAAAATATTCTGGTCAGGTAATGCCAAGGGTAAACATCCCCAGTGGTCAAATAGTGTTTCAGGGGCCATCACCTTCTGATGGGTGGGGACCATGTGTTATTCATCTGTATATACCTAGCAAATAGCATAATACCTGGCACTTACATTATTAATAAATAAATGTTAAGTTGATCTAATTAATCTTGAATAAACTCTGCTAGTTGGTTAGCATGAAGGATTATATTGATAAACTTTATAAATATCTCCCTTTGGAGTGTGGGCATATCTTTATATTTGCACTTGATGTGTACTTCACCATCTTGAGGAAATATATAAGGTCATATCTCCTTAAATATTCAAATTAAAATGATTCTGAGTCCCTATCCCATTATTGTACAAATGTCTTTCATTACTAGAGTCCTTCCTCCTGTATAAGAACTCAAAGAGCTTACTTAATCCAACAGCAAGGCAGCTGCTCCTACCTTGGTCTGCTATCAGAGTGGGAAACAGAGCCATCTCTTCGAGTCTAGAGGACTCAGTTTGGGGGACTAGATACTCTAGAAAGAGCCACTGCGCAGCTGGTGCTGCCACCATAGCTGGAGACCTGTTATTGGTGCTGACACTGGGCAGTGTGAAGGGATGCCTCTGGACTCCTACCAGCAGCACGTGGCTCCCACCCCTTAGGTTCACAGGGTTACTCAGTGTTTTTGTCTCCTTCCCAGCATAAGAACTCAGATGCTGGAGGACATCATAACCACCACTTGATAAGACTCAGCCTTGGCATTAGAGGAGGGAGGAAGGGAAGTGTATGTCTCTTTGGGAGTATATATTTATAACTCCTTTTATAATGTGAAAACAGTCCATACCAGGTAGGTGAACCAAGCTTGTACACGTTCTCTGTTGCCTTTCTTATGCTTGTGAGGCAGAAGTTTTATTAGAAGCCACTCTTCCACAAGTGGAAGCAGAACCTGCTACAAAATAGCTTTTATTCATTTGATCACCAGAAAGGAAGAATGGTATATTAATATTCTGGGAGAAACCCTTACGAAATATAAAACAATGGTAGTGATTGCTGCAAAGAGAAGTCTTGGTCTTGGCATCAAGTTAATTATGGGGGATTCTTTATGCTTTGACAGAAAAAAGGTTATTTGAACTGAAGTCTAATTTTTAAATTTGATTCCAATTTTGATAAACTAGAAATTTGTCGCCACTCATGCTTATCATATACTATCTGGGGCATGTAAGGAAGTGGCTACCATATGGTCAAATGGTCTGCCATTGACGGAAGCACAGGTAAAGGTCATGCCTGAGTGCCTCCGCTACAGAGTAGGTGCTCCTTAAATCACGATGTCGTACAAAACATCTCCATTTAATTGTGATGTGACTCCCACTTAAATAGACACGGTGATGGGAAACTTTTAACAACAGGCAAGTGAAATGTTACTTTAGAGAGAATTCCTGACATCTGCTTTAGTTTGTTTGCTAGTGTTATTTCTCTTGAAAGATTTATTTGTTTATTCCACATCTTTTCTAAAATGGATCAACTGGTTCAAATAATAAAAAACAACAAACGGTTAAGAAAGACATAGAAAACCAAAGGGAATCAGCAACAAAAACAGCAACCAAGAGGGCTAACTCAATTACCGCGATTAAACATTAATTTTGACACAAGATTTCTGATACCCAGGGCACAAAGGATGACATGATAGGTGACATAATTCTTATCTGCTTGAATAAAGTGTGCCAGTTCTTCACGAAAGAGAACTATTTTCTAGTAATAAATGTAGAAAGGAATATATGGTATTGAGGAGACTCAGACTGAAATTAGCTCTCTAAACAAAATATAAAAATTGTTTTAAAAATGAAATTAAATAAATTTTAGAAGTCCATATCTTCTGTATCAGTCAGGATAGGAAAAGTCTTGCTGTGGTAACAAACAAATCCTCAACTCTCAGTGGCTTAGCCCAGGGAATTTTTATTTTGTGCTCACATCATAGTGTGATGCTGCCAATGTAGCTTTCCTGGGTCATTCTCATTTAAAAAGAAACTCAGGGATCTGGTCTCCTTCTGTCTCGTAACTCTACCAGCTAGCAGTCCGTACTTGCCAGTGTACCAACAAAGTAGAGAGAGTGTGGAAGAGTGCAGTAGAAATTTTAGAGACAAGGCCTGAGAAAGATATGTATTCTTTTCACCCATATTTTGTTGGCCAGAACTAAGTCACATGCTACTAATTTATTTGCAAGGGCAGCTGGAATATGTGGCATTCCTCTGTTCCCAGGAGGAAGACATTGGAAGGATGAGCATCTGGCCAATTTCTGCCAAATCTCGTATTTGTCTTAGGGCTTTTCTTCCTCTCATCTCTGTCTGTTTTGAAACACTTTAGTCCCTGGAGTTCCCAGGAACAAGAAAGTATATCCGCCAGTTACACAGATGTAAAGTAAGAATATTATATTAGTATAATTTATAATAAAACATTTATTTATCTGTATCAATCAACTAAATACTAAATGTTGAGACAATTTTTAAACCCATTGCTATAAATGACGAAATTTTTATACACTCAAAGTAAGTATATCCGTTGATATAATCATTAAATGAGATGACTCTGCCCTCTCCTCCTCATCATCCTGAGCAGCTCTGATTTTAGTTGATTATGTATTGGGGTTCTGAATAAGATTCTTTCATACAAGAATTTCCTGAATTTGGACAGGCCGCTCCTTGGCTCTGGCCACTTAAGGATCAGAGCCTTCTTCCATTCAGATCCAGGAACAAAGGGTCTTCTCACAAATGCAAAGAATGGGTGATCAGAGACCCATTAGACAGAAGAGAGAGTTTTCATAACAACCGTATTATTCTTGCTTTGAGCCCTGAGTCAGCATCAGTTGGAGCTTTAGTTGATCTGAAACACGGTGCTCAATGGAGTTTTGGAAAATTAATCAGCTTCCCTTTGTGAATGCTTGCATTTCCACACTTTCATTTTATGAACTTTCACACCCGTCTGTGGGGTTTTGAGGTTTGCTTCATTCAGACCCATATTGGAAAGGCCCGAATTCCTGTCACAGCCAGGATTTTCTCCAGCTCCAGGGATTTGTTTGGTTTTGTGCCATTTTATCTCAAGTTTTATTCCTTCCATCTGATTCAAATATTTTGTTACCGACTCATAGTTCTTCTTAAGAAAAAGAAAAAAAAGATAGAAAAGAAGAAGCAAAACAGCACCTCTTTTAAAACAGGAAATCGCTCTGGTTTGAATTTCCTGTCGGAATTTGGGCAGGTTGGTTGGCAACTGGTGATCTGGACACATGTCAGATTTCAGGGTAAGTTTCACAGAGCTTTATTGCCTCCCTCTGGACCCCTGTCAGAGAACAACAAGACGTGAGGCTTAGCTTAATAAGCACGCTGGCGTTAGTCAGCTGCTCTGCCAGTGCACGTCGTGAGTGCTCTATCTTTCTCATCTTAGAGCTTTTTACTCCATCCGCTTGGTGGGAGAGGGACTCTGCATCATCGGCAGCATTTTACAGGTGGGTGAAACAGGGTTTAGGGGGAAAGAGCCTGACATCACTGCAGAGTCCCCCCGACTATGGCAGCCACTGCCTTTTCTGTTGCTGTCTTAATAGGCTTTGTATTTTAAAAGACTTCTAGATCTACAGAAAAGCTACAAAGGTAGTGCAGAGAGTTGCTGTCTACCCCACACCCAGTTTCCCCAATTATTAGCATCTTACATTACTATGGTGCATTTTTCACCCTAATGACCCAATATTGATATGTTATTATTATCTAAAGTTTACTAGAATTTCCTTTGTTGTAACCTAAGGTCCTTTTTCTATGCCAGGATATGTCATCCTGGGTCCCACATTACATTTAGCTGTCGTGTCTCCTCTCCTTAGACTCCTCTTCCACTGTTTTTGTGTTGGTTGTGTGTGTGTATATGTGTGTGTGTACTAGGTTGTGAAGTAATACGTAGGTCATGGCCTCTGAAACTGAAAGCCACTGGTGTAGAGCAAATTATAGGTAGTCACTCCTTTAAGCCTCATAATCATTGAAAGGAGACTGTGAAGGAACATGACAAATATTAGAAGTATTTCTGATGCCAGTTTGTTACGGTCAAAAAAAAAAAAAATGAAGAGGAGATAGTTATATTCACAGAAAATTGAACAGCAAACAGAAGGTATCCTAGAGATGGAGAGAATTCGGGCCTAAACACCATTTGGGTCTATAGGGACCCGTAGTGTTTTCAAAGGAGACGCTAATGTGTTTCTGCTAGTGATGTTCGTTTCTTTCAGGAGTGCTGTTTGTCCTAAGTGACTCATAGCAGCCACTTTTACTGATTTTTTTGAAGTGTCAGATGTGGTGAGTTGCCTGGGTCTAGAAAGAGTTTGGTACATAGGTTTGGGCTTCACTGGCTGTTTCCCATGGGAAAGTCAGTTGATTAGATTAAAGATGAAAGCCTGTCCGGGTCAGCTGTTTTAGGCCATACGCAGATGGAAGGAAGCAGGGGAGGTGGGGCATGTACATTTGTCATAATCCTCAGTCCAGATAATTTCATATGGATATCCCGCCTTTTCGTTGGTGGAGGATAGGGAGTGGTAAGGTCGAAGGTGATGAGAAATCTTACATTATTTGTTAGTGCTGACAGTGTAACCCCCATCCCAACAAATTACTGCACTTAGAGTGTCCTTATAGGCTTTGGAAAGGTGGCAGGAGGGAGAGAGAGAGAAAGAGAGGAGAATGGATTCAGTGTTTCTGGCTACCTGGGAAAGAAATCTCCATGGGGCGGACAAATAGGATTTGCCTGGGGTAACTCATCTTTTATGTTTCAAGCAAACGTGAACAGAATCCATACACTTAGTGGTGGCAAATAAATAGGATATAAGTGCATATTTTAATTTTAAAAAATTAATTTCCTGACCTTAGAGTCGATTGTTGGAAGGAATTTTCAGACTTCCTTCTCCTTACCTCCAGGTAGGCAACTCTGTCACAACGAGCTGTCCACGTTTTACTCAGTCAGAAGTGATTTTTGTTTTCACTTCCTAGGTCTTTTTACACTTTAGCAATTAAAATGAAGTGAGGAAACTATAGATAACATGGATCAATTACTTGGAAAAATTAAAACTGGACAATGATCATTCGATATAGTAGCAGTTGCTTGATTAAACATTGACTGACGAATTTATGGCTTATTCAATTCATTTATATTTGTTTCCTCTGCTTTTCCCCTCAGCTTTGGACTATTTCATGGAGTTATGAAAATAGAGAGGAAAACAAAATAAAACAGAAGTGAATTCATTCTACTCCTTGCCAAGTGATCTGGTAGTTTTAGAGTAAGTAGCAGAATTGGAAAGGTAAAATAATGCATCTAGACTAATTTGTTCTCTTTCATTAAAATTATGAAGAGAAAGTCATTTCTAAGTTTGGGATATTTACCACCTCCTCCTCCAAATGAGAATGAACACACACACACACACACACACACACACACCCTCAAATCTCCAGCTGGGGCAGACTTTGCCCTACCCTCCCAGCACCTCCTTGGCTTTTCATATTTACTTTCCATCATTAAAGATACATTTGCTGTTTCCAATCTGCTTAGGCTTGGTGTTTCTGTCAGGAAAGTAAATGGCAAAAGACCACATGACTGCCGAGGGCAAACACTGCTGAAGGCCGCAGCTGTGGCTTGAGTGGCCTGGTCGGAAAGACAAGGCAGTGTGTGGACGGGAGGTTAGAGATGGGCTAAGGGGAAAAAGGCTCTGCTCCTTCCCCTCTGCCTCTGTTTAGGTCCTCCGGGAAGCAGACACCAAGACGGAATTAGAAATGCAAGACGTTTCTTGAGGGATATGCTTGAAGGATAAATGGGAGAGGCAGCGGGAGCTGGTGGGGAGAGTCTCAGATCATGATGCAAGTCTGACATCCGTGAAGGGAGAGCCAGAGGGAAGCAGAATTAGGTAGGTAGAGCTTCGGATTTCAGGGCAGCTCTGAGAAAGCCTTGGCTCAGCTGACGGGGATCCCCAAAGCAACAATTCCTAGTAGAGAAATTTCTCCATTGGGCAGGAATGTCTAGCTCTAGTACGCCCCCCACCCCATGCCCAGGCGTTGGCTAGGAGCAGCTCTGGAAAAGAATGGCCTTGGTGTGAATGCTGCAGCGGATTCCAAAGCCCGAAGCAGACCGGGAGATAAGTACACTTCTCACTAAAGATTCACTCTTAAGGGAGAACTGAGCAGTGCCTTCCTGCCGCGACCACACCCATGAATCACATTATTATCAGAGCTCAAAAAAGACAAGAACCAGTGAATTCCATCTCAAATAACTGGTCGCTCTGTTATTGTTTTTCCTCACACCATAGACGATTACAGAAACCACATAACTGAGGTACAGAGCTATGAGTTTTTCTTTTATCTTCTAAAAACCTAAGACGCCTTGCAAAAGTTAGCTTGATTCAGTTCAGTTTCTTCCAGCTACCACATGTGGTCCAAAAACTATCTCGAACAATTTGCAGCATTCTGACTCAACTTGTCATAGCGGAAGCCTCTTGGCAGAAATGAGACCTATCTCATCTTGCAGATCTGTACGGAAAGGGAAATTGATTCACTGATGTTTTCAATCTTTTTTCTTTTCGTGGTGTTGCTGTTTAGTGTTGGAGGGTGCTGACTTTTTTATGATTCAGAAGCATAAATTCTTTCCTAAAGTGAAGGGTTAATTTTCAGAATGGAAGGAAGTTAGCCTCTTCTTGTTCTACACTTTAAATGTGAGAAATGATTACACAGAAGCAGTTGTTCCGAAATCTTACAATGAGGGAGGAAGACAGGAGCATTCTTGATCTGTAAACCAAAAGGTAACTTCTGAACACCACTCTGTAGGTAAATTCAGCTTTGTAGGGAGCTTTTCAAAATCATTAGGCCACTAAAGTTCAATTTAGCTTATTATGCAAATCATCGGCTCATTTACTTTGACCAACATGTGCACAGCTCCTCCTCACTTTCTGCAGCTCTGGGGCCAGAGAATAAAATCATCTCCAGGTGACAGGTAATTGGAGCCTGACAAGTCAAAGGCTCAGAGGGGCACAAAATTCCACCTTTGGATTAATTGGCCTCTCCCAACTCTTCCAGATACAAATTCCAGAGATATTCCACAGTTGACTTCTCGGGCTATAGCACCCAAGGGATGTATGTGATCCAGTTGATGCAAGGAAGGTGGCCAAGCTTAAGTGGAGAAGGGATGGTGGAAGTGGGTGTTGGTGAAAGTGGAAACCTTTGCTGAGAATCTGTTCTATATGTTTAGCCTCCTGCTGCCCCTCTAAACTGAGCTACCTGGGAAAATCCTATCAATTGAAAAGCAAGGGGAGACTGGATTTGCTTAATTTATTTCAAACCCACTGCTTGACTTCTCATAAGCTGTTTTCATTTCTTTAAGATCAAGATCTGTGCTCCTGTCCTTTGCTTGCTACTGATTTCATTTGTAATGACAGCATGGTTGAAACCAATGGTTTGCAAAATTATTCTTAGCAGTGGAGCTCTTGCTTCAAAAGAAATATAAAATAAAACAAGGTCTAGAGCTCTGCCTGGCCAGCTTCTCCTGTAGGCACTTCCTCAAACCCCGAGACTATGGGACTTAGTTTGAAAGTTACTGTTAAAGTGGGAAAAGGTTTTGAGTAGGAGTTTAGGTCTGGAGCACAGACAATTCTAGTTTGAGTCCAGTTATTATTTTGTTTTTGTAACCTTAAGTAAATAGCAACAACAACAATAGCAATAATGGTAGTCATGTAGTGATGTATAGATGCTTATTATTATAACTAGAAAGGTTCGTTATTATAATTAGTAATAATAATTATAAAGATCATTTACAGGGCATGTGCCAAGCACTGAGCAAAATTACTTAACATGCACTATTTCCTTTAAATACAACAAACCTGGGACGTTTAGATGGAGTTACTAGGATTAGAGAGGTTAAGTCAATTGCCCAAAGCCACACAGCAAGCAGTGGGCAGAGAGGGGACATGAACCCAGGAGTGTCTAACTCCAGAGCAAGCGCTCCAACCCCATGCATGTGCAGCCTTACAGGCTTGGGGGCCTAATGTGTAAACTACAGAGATTGCATCAAATCATCACTAAGGGTTTTGGGGTTTTTGTTTTTTTAAACTCTGTTATTTTCTTGACAGATGTGTGTTGAACTCTGAAAAGAACAGAATTGCAGCCTCTACCTATTCCGAAGATCATCTAATAGAACGCTACCCGGCTTCTCACCCCTCTTTATAAAATGATGACATACTTCACCCTCTGTTAGAAAGCTCCCCTGGTGTAAATCATTAAACTCACTATAATTCTACCCAGTTTACAAATTTTAACTGGCGTCACCAGTGAATTTACTCTCTCTCCTAAACGCTCCTCCTCATCTCCTTTTGCAGAGTATTTGGCATTTTAGGGACCTAACAGAAAGTCAGTAGATTATTATTCACTTAATATTAGCTCAATGCAAAGAGAGTGTGGTGCTTTGGTTATTTTCCTGGCTTTGTCAGCTGAAAGGCTCCAGATGACATCCCTGCAGCAATGAACAGAACCCATGGCTAGATCTTGGTTTCTAAATACCTTTCTCTACCCAAATGAGCACATGGCTGTATTTATGACTTTGACAAGTGCTGTCCACTCCTGAGTGTGTGGGAGAGGCACTGTGATCAAGCGGACAGAAGGTCCTGGGCATGGAGTTAGCGGTCTGGTTTCATGACTCACCAGCCCAGTGAACATGAGCAAGTCAGATTATTTATGAGGGGTGGTCAGTATTTTTTATTGTGAAATAAGAGGCTTGGACTTGCTTCTTGCAATCCCTTCTCTACTCCGTAGCCAGAGCAATCTTTTTGAAAGGTGAATTTGATCATATCGCTTCCACCTATTGACCGGCTCCGCATTGCTCCCAGGAGAAAGCCCACCCTCTGTAACATGATATAAAATGGTCCCTGCTCATCATTTTTGAGCAGCATTCTGCTCTTGATCCGCTCCCACCATATATTCCTTAGGCTGTGTGATGCAAACTTATGGGCTAACCCGAGGCTCCTTTTTGTGTTGCGCTTTCTCACCTCCGCATCTTTGCTCATGCTATTCCTTAGAAAGGGTAGTTTTTCCTCCTCCTCTTCCTTTCGCCTATCTACCTCTCTCTTACCTGTCATTTCCTCCAGAATGCTTTCCTCAAGCCCACAGACTAAATTAAATGCTTCCTCTGTGTGTCTCTTTAGCCTGTGCACTGTGTTGTAATTTCCTGTACTTCCTGGTCTGTCCCACTAGTCTCTGAGCAGTTGGAAACTCTCCCTTAGTCAGTGCCATATCCCTAGGGCCTAACACAAGCCTAGCACTGGTAATGGACTCAAATATTTGTTAAATGAATTAAAGATCATTCTCTCTTTTTTGAACCTCAGCTTCCTCATCCTTTATGTGAAAATAATATGTATCTCATCATAGGCGATGAGGATTGCCTAAGGCAGGACTTGAAAAAACACTTTGCTAATAGGAGTCATTGTACCTGTGTAAGATGGGATGGAAGACTTGTCTTCTTTCTGGTACGCGCACAATTTCCTCTAAACCACCGTTGGCAAACTGTGATCCATAGGTCAGCTCCAATCCACATCCTGTTTCTGTATTACCCACGAGTTAAGAATGGTTTTTAAATTTTTAAGTGATTACATAAAATCAAAAGAAGAATGTGTCATGACGTGGGGAAATTGTATGAAATGCAAATTTCAAGGTCCATGAATAGGTTTCTTGAGACAAAGCCATGCTCATCTGCTATGTGCCATGGCTGTGTTTGCGTTGCAACGGCAGAGCTGAGTAGCTATGGCGGAGATCTTATGGCCCACAAAGCCTAAGATATTTACCCTCTGGCCTTTAATAGATCGCATTTGCCAACTCCTACCTTAAACCCCAAACTTCTTCTCTCTCCTCACTCCCAACCTCTGCTTTGAGCTTGGGTTCCAATTTGATGTCTTAGCCTTGGAGACATTTGATATTTCCTCAAGAATCTAGAGAGAAAGAGTTATTTCTTATTTATCCTGAAAAAAATGTTTGAGTATCTAAGCAGAACACAGCTGGGTGTTTCCCCAGAGATATTTCATATTTGGGCATGTATAATGTGGTAAATTTAGGAAGAAAATTACTGAGTTCCCCTGCAAACGATCTCATTACTCAGGTTACTTGTTAAAGGAAGGGCTCCTTCTGTTTTTTTTTCTGATTAATATCTGAGTTTGAAATTTGTTGACATGCGTATTTTTTTCTTGGCATGGGGCTTCCCTTTTGTTTCATCTTTTAAGAGAAATTCATGGACAGAAACTATAAGCTAAAGCAGTTCCCACTTTAAGAATGAGGGGCTGGGGGCATTACAATTAGAGTAGATTCGGTGACATGGTTGGAAGCGATGGGAGAGAGAAAGGAGAGAAAGAGACAGAAAGAAGGAAAGGAGAGAGAGAGGTGAGAGAGAGAGAGAGAAAGGAGAGGTGGAGAACGCAGCTAAGAAGAGCAATGGTTATCTAATGAGAAGGCAGGCAAGCTAGAAATCCTATTTAGGAAGCTGGGAGCCCAGGGAGATTAAAGGACAGTACCTCAGGAGTCAGCCTGGCTCTGTGAGGGAGAGGCCCAAGGACATTTTTGTGGTACTTAGATGGTTTCCTGCAGAATCTCTGTAACTGGCATCTGAGTCTCTCCTGTTCTGTCTCCCAGGTCTGTGTGGTATAGCTGTGGTTGTACGTGAAAGAGAAAACTTAAAATATCCTGTTTCACAGAAGAACATGGCGTATCACCTTCCAGACAAGAATCCAGTGACTGCCTGGACTCCCAGCTGCATTCCTGAACTTGTCTAAGGGTGTCGTAAACACGTTGATGGGATCCAAAGATGCACAAAGAGAAGCTACAACGTTATGAAAAATTGTTGACATCTTGGTTGCTCCATACAACATCATACCATGCTTTGTGAGAAAACAATTATTTTGACAATGTTAGAGACTGGTCTAACCACCAAACCCACCAACTCCTTCCCTCTATGCCTTCTAAAATTGCTCCAACAAAGTGAAAAAAAATACCCAACTAACACAATATTCCAGGATGGTGGAAAATCAAATACTAAAGGGTAGAGGGGATGCTATAAAGTACATATGTGAGCTTTCAGTTTGATCGAGCTTATAACACATGCTGTGTGTATAAATTCACGATTTGAACCTATAAACCGGAGATCTGGCATTCTGAGTTGGTTCTGGGAAATTGCATAGACTTATGTGAGCCAATGCCTGCTACCAAGTATTTTTTTTTCTTAACTCTTTAATTTGAGGGTTTTTACTTGATTTTGAGGATTATCTTAAACTTCCTTGGATAATTCTATTATCATTCCTCCATTTCTTTTCGCAATGCTTTTCAAGGAAAGTTTAAGTTATATCAACTAGAAACATGTTGCTTCGGTTTGATCTGTGCTTGGTATTTCTCTTTAGACAGATGTGGCAAAGTTTTGGTGCTTATAAATATTTTCCTTTTAGGGGAAGGGATTGGATTTATGGTGCAGAATTCCATCAATCTATATTAGGACAAAGTATCTGGGAGATGCTATGTAGTGTACCTGTTCACTGGAAGAATTTCTTTATGTTTATGTGCCCAATTAGATGTAATTTGTAATAAAATGGGCTTCTTCCAGAAATCAGATTTCCAGAACCCATTTTTTCCCTCCTAAGCTAAGCAGTGTGTACTTGACAGATTATTAATCAGAAATTTGTAGATGTTTCTTTTTTTTCCCTCTTAAAGTAGGATGGGCAACAATTTTTCTATCAAGAACCATAAGACCATAGAGGAAATATTAAATAAGACCTCAAAAAAAATAATAAAAAACCTAGAAAGCAGTTATCAATGTATTTTTTTTAATTAAAAAAATACAAAAATGTACAAAAAATAACAATCACTCATATTTTCACTTCCCAGTTTAGGTATTTATCATCTTAATATATTCATATACCTAAAAAAATCGTGTTATTTTTGTAAAAAAAAGGATCTCGTTATAAATAATTCAAAAATAGAGATAAGTATAAAGATGAAGATGAAATAATTCATCCCAAATACTACGATCTCCCCCAAAAAATCATTGTTAACATTAGAGAAATGTCATTTTAGAGTCTATCCTTTTATGCATACAGATCAACCAGAAATATTTATTAAGATGAAATCTTATTACAGAAGATACTTTAATGAAAAAAGTATAATTTTACTTGAATTTAATAGAAGAAAAACTGAAGGAGTTGTTGAACTTCAAATGAATGTTTCTGTAGACAAGACGGATTATTTCCTAAAACTTCCCTCTCAGATTGAGAAAGGAAATTTAAAACAACAATGATCAGAATAATTTTTAAGCTACATATTTCAATCTTAGCATTATCAAACTTTCTCCCATTGCTTCCCAAATTTTGTTCATATTTTTATATTGTCTAGAAATATGATGTCTGCACTTTTTTGGTAACTATAATTCTCTTTTCAATTAGTTCAGTATTTAGCTCGAGAGTTAAATGGATTTAATGCTTATCAGATTCTTAAAAATCTGGACATTTTTGGGGCTGGCCCTGTGGCCAAGTGTTTAAGTTCATGCGCTCCGCTGCAGGCAGCCCAGTGTTTCGTTGGTTCAAATCCTGGGTGCGGACATGGCACTGCTCATCAAACCACGCTGAGGCAGCGTCCCACATGCCACAGCTGGAAGGACCCACAACGAAGAATATACAACTATGTACCGGGGTACCGGGGGGCTTTGGGGAGAAAAAGGAAAAAATAAAATCTTTATAAAAAAAATCTGGACATTTTTATTTTATGCTCTTTATTTTGATTTGTACTTTAATACTTTTTCCCCAAGAAATGCTTATGAATGTTGTATTCCCTGAATTCTGTCATGTTTGAGGAAGTGTACCCATCGCCCTTCTAGTCAAACAGCATCTTGGCTGGGTACCGTGTTCTTGGATCACACTTTCTTTTCTTCAGAACGTTGTGACTATTACTCCATTGTCATTAGCATTTACTATTGCTGTGAAGTGGTCTGATTTTTCCCAATGTACATGATTTACTTTTCGGGCTGGTCACTCAAAGGATTATTTCTTTGTCCTTGAATTTTAGTGATGTAACTGAGCCACGCTCAGTGTCGAGTGGTCTGTGTGAAACTTTTCTGGAAAATAGAGAACTCCTTCAAGCTACAGATTCAGGGCTTTTTTCCCCTTACTTTCAGAGAATTTTTCTGACCTCATATATTTGGCTTCATTTTCTGTTTATTTGTTGGGTTTGCCCCTTCAAGCATACCAATTATCCTCACATTGGATCTTATTTCTCTGTCTTCCATATCAGTCCATCTCTAAATGTTTTGATTTCTCTTTTTTAAATCTATTCATCATGATTAGCTCATCTTTCTTCCATGTCAGTAATTTGATTTACAGCAATAACTACTGTGTTTCTTACTGTATCTAAATTATTTATCATTCCTTAATGCTGCTGTTTGGAGCCTCTATTTCTTTCCCTGGGCCTGCAGTCACTTTTTCCATCTTGGTTAGATTGTTCTTATTATCAGGCCTTTGATTCCTTGTTTTATTTGGACCACATACTTATTAAATTATTCCATATTGTGAAGCAATTTTCCTTCTGATCCTTAACGTTTTCTTATTATTTAGTTCTTTGTCTTTCCTTTACTTTCTTCCTTCTTTACCATACAGTATTTATATAATTGCCATGCCATTTCTTTTTATCTTGTTCATGTTTGGGTGGTTTCATCCAGACATTCTCTTTGCTCCAATGCCCTGAGGATTACTTCTGGTTTTCTTTTCACATTGTTTGTAACCATTTGTTTACTCCTCCCAGCTGTAGGCTGATGGCTGAGTGTCCCTGTGCTCTACATACTCTTCTGTAACCCAAGAGGATGACGATAGAAGGAGAGAGTCCAGCTGGGATAGTTCCAGTCTTTGTTAGATAACCTAGGCCCTGCTCATTGTTTCAAGATTTTGTTAATGGTCCTTTGTCAAGGTCTATTTGTGCTCCTTTCCTGTGAGAATGTAGCCTTGGTCCTTGAACTGAACAGCCGTGGAGCTTTTTCTTCTGTACAGCCAGCGCCTATTTCACTCCTTTTCCCCTCAACAGCTTCCCCCCACTCCCAACTACTCAGTTTGAAAAGGGAAAAGATAATGACTGAGTTGGTTTCTTTCTAGGCTTGATTTGATCAACTTAACAGTACAATTTCCAGGAATTTGGGCAGAGGTAAAAGAAAAGCTGTGCTTCCTATTTCTTTTCACAACCATCCATACTTTTCCTTATTTGCTAGTTTTTGAAAGTTTATAACGTTAACCTAACCCCCTTTCCCTGCTTTGTGGCTATTAGTAATTTCGCCCCTGGCTTTTAATTTTTTGGCTTTTTTCCCCCCTCTCATTTTGTTAGATACTGGGGAGGGAAACACCATGACTCAGCGTTAATCTGAAATCTTAAAGCTGAGACAGGATACAGCAAAAATTATATTTAACAAACACAACAGATGATTTACATGTAAATTCCATATCATAAGCAGTTAAAATGGAGGAAGTTGAGAAGAGATATATGATGAGGATTTGAGAAACTGAAGCAGAGAAAACCCAAGAGAATAAAAGAACAATAAGAAAGAGATGGCAGAAATAAAAAGAGTGAAATTCAATTGGTTCCGATAACTACAAAGTAGTGATAAATTGCTTTGGTGGGCAATATTGTCTTTTGGACTGTGGGCATTGGTGTTGGGAATGAATTATCACTGTGCTCTGAAATTTTAGTAGGCTTTTCAACTTTTGAAAAATAGTCCTTCCTGTTCTGGGAAATAACTTAGCTATTTTCATTCTCAAACTCTAAAGTTTATGTTTGAAATAAAGTCTTATTTTCCTGTGTAACCTTGAAATTTTAACAGATGTTTGAAGGAATGACTTGGCTTTTAAAATTTATTTTGTAATCTGAGAATTGTTGACCAATGTGCCAACTATCCTGAAAGTTCCTGCCATTCGGAGTCACAGACTGTAGCATTGGAGGGTACTAAGAAAGCAAAGAACATCTGAACATTGGGATGGAGAAAATGATTAGATTGATAATAGAATCAGAATTAGGGAGAGAAGAAAAGTGGGCCCAGACACTCGGTGCAAGCAAGGGGTAGGGGTGTGGACACAAAGTCCTTGCAAACATCTACCTAGGGATGCTGTAGAAGCCGTGTAAAGCTGGAAGTCACGTGTCTACGTAAAAATTAGCAACCAGGAGAGCCGTGGAGAGAAGGAGCAAAGTGGACAGGAACAAAAGTGCCCACTAACACAGAGTGGAAACAGGTAGATTGTTTTCTATCATCTTGATTCTATCTAGAATGTGGGAAGAGATGGGAAACTTGCAATAATGAGAAATGATAATTCTTACTGAGGAGAGAGAGAGAGAGGAAGACAGAGAGAGAGAATGAGCATCTTAACCTTGGACATCCCTAGACTGTCGAATTGACATATTTCTCTTCTCTGACATTGTAGGTCTGCTTCAAAATTGCATTATTTTGGATCAGCATTTGCGACTATTTGATTTTTTAATTTTTCTTTTTCAAACTCAATTTTTGAAATTGAATTCAAAACGTGATTGAGGTAAAACATACAGTAAGCTGCTCTTCTTTAAAATATGAAATTTGATTAGTTTTGACAGCTGTATATACCCATGAAACTACC